TTGCAGGTCGTCCCTAGGAAAAAGGGCCGTATTATCGGGATTGGCTCGGTGAACGATGTCCCCGCAGCGACATCATCTCATGTTCACCAACAAGTCGAGGCCAACGATCAGCTGCGGACGGAGTTGCAGGCGACGCAAGCTCATGTGAGTTCGCTCACCGAGATCCTCGACGTTGTGGCGGTCGGGAACCCGCAAGTGGTGGAGATGTTGCGTCAGAGACGGGAAAGCGGAGCCCTTCCACCATCTCAGTCGCAGCCGGCATCCAACACTGGAGACGACGACTTCGTGCAACAATTTCATGAGCAGCATCCGTTTTAGTTTTAAATTTGTATATTATGAATTTTTAAACTTATTTATTGTATATTATTTAGTTATTTATAATTATTTAATTATTTAAATTTTTATTTTTAATTTGGTTTTTATAATTTTTTTAATATATATATAATTTTTAATTTATAAATATTTTTTTTTTAAAAGAAAAAACATTTCCAAGCAATTTCCTCGTAAAGCTTTCGAAGTGATCTCCTAGTAAATATTCCTAGCAAGTTCCTCGTAAGGTTTCCTCGTAAGCTCTTCGTATATTTTCCTAGAAAGTTCCTCGTAATTAACCTACTACGAGTTTACGAGGAAAGACTTTACTATGAGCTTACGAGGAAACCTTACGTGGACTTTACGAGGAACACTTATCCACGCCTTTACGAGGAAATGTTTCCTCGTAAGTTAGCTAGGACTTTACGAGGAAAATAGACTTTACGATGAACGCCTTTCGACGAAACGGGTTTCCTCGTAATTTCCTAGTAAAGGCCCTTTTACTAGGAAATAACGAGGAGAACCCGTCCTAGTAAATGGCCTGTTTTCTTGTAGTGTTTATAGTTTTAATATTATTAATTTATACAGTCTTTAGTATGTAATAAACATTTTTGTGATTGTGTAAATAATGGAATTGTCATATAGATGCTGATATATTACGGAAATAGAGCGTACAATCATTGACGAATGAAGAAGTCCACTCATGTAAATGTTGCTGATGAACAGCCAGTTGTTTTCATTGAGGTATCTCTTCCAAATATGAATAGTGTCATAGTGATAGTCACCGTAAAAATTGATCCATGTATACAATGGAAAGGGATACAACGGCAGAGAGGAGAGATGGTTTTAGGCTCCGTTCTGATGTAACACGGAGATACAAAGTGGAGAAGTGACTCTTCGTCCGGGAGTAACTCGAACCGGAGGAGAGGAGAGCGAAGCAGAGGAAAAAGAGGGGAAGCAGCGAAGGAGATCCGATCAATGTCGTGCACACGTACACATCTCTAGTAGAACCGGCCAAAAGACTCACAGCTACAGTATAATGGCCACCGGTAAGAGAAGAGGCGGAGGAGCAGTGGAGCGTAGTTTATAGGGCTCGGTGACTGAAGATGTTGAGGGAGTGATGGACAGAGAAATACGTACATACTAACTTGTGGTATTTTGCAACAACCTTGCTAATATGCTCAAAAGTTTCAGTATGCATTCCGGTGAAGCGAGTGAGCTCAGTTTCATTCGATCCAATAGCTGATTAGGGATTGGCGTATCCATCCCCCCCCCCACGTCAAGGACTACCGGAACAACTACTCTCTTCACAGCCTGCAACACATCCACCAACAACCTAAGTTACTTAGAAAATCATACTCAACATGATATTCCATTGGCAATCTCATCATGATGATTCAAATAGTATATGATCAATCCACATTCCAGTTCCAAATGCTACATCTTTTCAACGACACCATTGATTTATCTAAACCTAAAGATGCATCCTTTGAATGTCTTCAAGATTGTAATCAAATAAATTTAAAATTAAAACTTGATTCGAACCTTAACAACTTAAACGTTGGTGGAGTCTGGAATTTCTTTTTGAAGCAGCAAAACACCAGGCATTCCGCACGATCTCAAGCTCATCATCGCTCACTTCTAAGGCCGCCCTCTCATATCATAAGTTCGTTACAATTCCCAAAATAACTTTTTTAGCTAGAACGGATTAGCATGGAAGAGTCCAATAACCTGTAGTTTTGGTTACATCAAACCCGGTTAAAGAATAGACCGAACCCGCTTTCAGATTAGGCTTGTGTGTGGGAAGCCGATGGACGTTCACGGAGGCCAGCATCATGGGGCCTAAATACATGTGAATTAAATACAACAATCATCACTATCTCCAGAACGTCACAGTAAGAAAATGTTCACAACAAACTTAAGCAATACTTTAAAATTAACGAATACCGATCCAGGACGGAAAAAATTGTTAAAGCACCAAACCAGTATATAAACAAACGGCTGCGTTAGGCAAAATATAACAGAAACAGGTTTTCTAAAAAATTAATTTTGTAGCTAGATTCAGGATGGCGAGAATGTGTAAATAATATAACCGGTGAATAAACAATACTTACAAATCAAAGGAGGAGTGTAAGAAGATACCTGAGAACCCAGAAACAGAACAACTGCACTTGAACGGTGGAGGAAGAACGGCCAATCTGCAAATCAGAAAGGAAGACTAAAACTTGAGCCATATTACACAGGGGTTGCTTACTATCTCACCAAATGAACTCTAACAGACAGAATGTTACCATGATCCAATTAGTCCATTGCACTAAACTAAACTCTAGACTATGGAGGATTACTAAGATCAAAACTTGGTTTCAAAAGAAAACAACAAACCTTTCCAATCATGGCAGCATTAGAGAAATCCAGCTCAACATGTTCAATCTCCCAATCAAAGTGACTACCGTTTTGACCCTACGTTAAAAATTATTTTTGCAATAATATTGTAATATTCCATAGTAAGAAGTACTTTAAACTAATGAAAATTTCTAACTTAAAAAGCTGTAGGAGATGAAAAGAGATACAAAAACTCACATAAGATAAACCACCATGAGATTTCAATAACTCAAATTTCTGCTTCCTAGCTTTTTCTGCATCAGCCAGAGGCTTCAAAACACATACAACACAAAACACTTAGGTGAAACAGGATAACGACAAAGAATCACAACTACTAACTGAACCAAAAAGGAGAAACAATTACCGTGTTCTTCCACCTGTCCTGAGCATTGACATTAGCGACAAACTCGAGCAGGCAGTTAACAACATCGATCCATCTAGGAAGCAACGCCACGTGGAGAGGGGTTCGCTTGTGGTAGCCTCTGGCATGAACCAGAGACGGAACTTCCTTCAGGAGTTTACGAACTGCTCCTGCGGCGTTCTGGTGTGCGTGCCATAGGATCAGAGACGTTCTGCTCACTCGTGCCTTCTCCTTCTGTTTGTCGTATGATGACGGTGATGGACCAGCGCTCGTCCCGGCGGAAGCAGATTGTTCGCCGCCGTCTCCAGACGTTTTGGAGCTCATCTCAAGGGGAAAGATGATGAGATTATTACTTGAGGTGGGAGAGCTTATCGAAAGTAGTGATTATCAAGGTGGGAGAGCTTATCTTTTTATAGTAACACATCCACCGCCTTGCATAATCACCGCTCGCATTGAATATAGATCGTGGGTGATGAATTGATGGAGATTCTCAACGCCATCAATCAGTAACTGGTATCCTCTCGCGATGCGACGAAGAATACGAAAGATCGATCGAGAAAACCCTAATCAACCCGAGCTCTGGAGAGGCGAAGAAGAGAACTCATGTAACCGTGACTGCGAACGCTGCGTTTCGTCTGGACGGATGTCTCTAATGGGCTGTAAGTGAAGATGATACAAAATAACCCATTTTAATTATAAGCCCGAGAGATTACACGGAGCACTCACCGAAACGCAACGGTTTGACGTCACCTGCCACGTGTCACGCTCGGGGGTTCTGAATTGATGACGTGGCTCTCCCAAGAGGAAATGAACTTTCGTTTATATATATAGATTTAAATTTGTGTCCCGGATGATTTGTCTGGTTCGCCATTGTTGACAAAAGAAAAGAAAAAAACACACTAAGACATGAACTAAAACATGGTGGACGAAGAACGTATATTATAGATTATGAACAAGGAAAAGTACGGTACATTATCATTGCTTTTTCACTAAAACAAAAGTATAATGTTGGGCTTATGGATAAAAAAAAATGCGATACAGCTTTTTATCTGGGAAATAATAGAGAGAGAGAGAAAAAGGTTCTGGCCAGTGCCCAAGAAGTTACGTTAGTTTTGTGGCTTCTAGTTTGCTCAAAATTACAAATCAAAAGTCTTTAAAACCCCCAAAAGAGCCACTCCAAATCCGCCATTAGATTCTCTCCAACAACAACTTGTAAAATAAAAAGAAACACACAAAGATCCATTCTCAAACAAAAATCAAAATCTTTTCTTGTTCCCACCGATCTGGAAAGTTCCCAGCTTTATAAACAAATGTCTCAGAAACATCTGGAATCATCACGAAACTCAATCGAATCTTGCACCTTACAGCTCCTCTCATGGCGTCCCTTCCACCGCTCCAAAGCCCTAGACTCATCCGAACAGCCCCAGACAAAAACCCCTTACTCCTCCGTCTCCACCAAACGCCCTTGCTTCTCGGATCGCTCCACCACTTCTTTCTCCATCGAAGCCATGAGCCGTCTCTCTCTCGCGGACGAAGACAACAACAATAACGGAGGGAAGCTCTCATCTTCGAATTACAACAGTAAGGGGAGTTTCCGTTTAGTAGCGAGGAAGCGGCGGCGTCGGAATTCGAGATCGGTGTCTGGTCGGAGCAGTGATCGGAGTGGGACTCTGAGATGCTGCTCCATCGGAGCTGCTCATGGGACTTGCTCTGATTTTCCGTTCGCTGTCGGTACGGATTCGAGTGGTGAGCTGTTCAGCGAAGCGAATTGGGCTTCTGATGTGAGCGAGGCCCGGAGGTCGCGGAGGGATTCTGGAGGAGAGAAGGAAGCCTCTGGGTTTGGGTTCCCCGTTGGTGTCGACCCGATGGGGAACGAATCTGGGTACGGGAGTGAGCCTGGGTATAGAGGAGATGTTGAGTTTGGTTATGGTGATGAGTATGATGATGAAGAAGAAGATGTGAGGCCGTTGTTTTGGGGAGGTAAAAGCTCGAAACTTTAAAACACTAGTGTTTGATCTTGTTGGTGATATAGATTCATTGTTTTTTATGCCAAAGATGAATTCTTTAGTCTATGCTCTTGCCTCTGGCATGTAGCCTTAAGGATGTTGCAACAAGAAAGCTAGGTTAGGAAATGATAAAAATGGTGGAACTATCATTTTATTTACAGCCAAAAGCTAACAGAGTCCTTTAGTGAATGATAAAAATGGTTAGAGAGTATCAGTCTATTCGGAGCCAAAAGCTTGCAGAGTTCTTTAGTGAATGATAAAAAAGGTTAGAGAGTGATAAAAATGGTGGAAATTTCAGTCTATCATTCTATTCGGAGCCAGAAGGTTGCAGAGTTCTTTAGTGGACTATGAGTAAGATACATTGTGGATTTGAGTTTTATCATGTTAGATCTTTTGCCTGAAATGTTTTTGTATCTTCTTATTATTGTGTGTTTACTTTCTGACTGGTGGTTGTTTTTGGATTTGGAGGAGATACAGATTCAACAATGGAGGTCTCTGGTGATACGAAATTCTCAGATAGTAAACCTCAGTTCAGGTGCCGTCGGAGAAGACAGCATGACTACAAAACTGTCGACTCCATGAGATAACACACTTTAACATTTCTATCCAATCGAAGCCAAGTCGGACTTCCGGTTCTGGGGAAAACTTTTTTCGTCCACTTTGAATTGTGATTCACGGACATTCACTTTATAGTTGCCAAGATATGCCTTTTGGAGGAACTTTCCATGTATTTTACCAACGCCTAGAAATTTAAGAGCTTCTTTTCTAACCATTTTTTTTATATATGTATAGAATGGATCTGTATTTTTTTTTACGTGCTCCTAAAAAAATTGTGTTTAATATTTTGAATTTTTATATCACAAGGCAGTTTATGAGTTTTTATTATATACTAGGGCAAAACCTGCTCTACGGACGGGTAAATAAATGAATAATATAAATAATAGCTTAAATTATAATGAAAATTTGGTGTGATTTTATTATCAATTAGAAAAAGATAATTTTAAGAAAAGAAATAAAAAGTAAAACTCAACAAACAGTCAAATAAAACAACCAAAATATCAATAGTTCAAAAGATATCACGTCTATGCTTTTTTTTTTTAAAACGCCATAGCAGTCGTTTCAGGTGAAGGCTATTTAACTGAAACATGGTTATGTAAGATAAGATTGCATAAAGAGAGAAGCCTTCACTCCATCCCAATGAACCATCAAATGCCTCATGAACTTTGGTAGATGCTTTCCTCCTTTCGATGTCACTCATGCGCTAAATGGAGATGCATATAATGAGGGACTTGTTAAATAATTAAGCTACGATTAAAGCTTTTATAGTTATAAATACAACCACTGAACTTATATAAAAATAATTTTAAGAGTGTATCTGCTAAGCGTGTGATGTTTTCGATTATTAAACTCTTGCATTTTCATGATGCAGTACCTAATCTTTTATTTTTAACTTCAAATTTAATAGCAAAAACTCAAGACATGTGCAAAAGATTAGTAACTTTGGTCATCTAAAAATAATTAAAAAGGAGCTCAAAACCATTAATTCAAGAAACATTTCATCGGAGCAACAATATGAGACTCATTTACATAAAAACTACAGTAGAACCTCGTGGTTAATTATCTAAAGCAACATGTTATATAGTTAACCCCCGAGGATCCTCACAAATTTACTCTATATAAGCTGTAAGTAATATGCTATAAAGGAATGAGTGAAACTGCAACAAAATGCCAATAACTTTACCCTCAACGTCTTTTGACTTTTCCTGTAATATGTGACGCTCGAAGTTAGTTGTTGTCAAGGGAAAAAAATTTGTTGTCAAGCCCACCTATAGGAGTTGAACTTAGCAATGCCAAACTTGTACTATAGTGTAATGGAGTTAGCGATAACTAATTTAAAGAATTAATAGATGAGCATCTTGCTTATCCTTTGTAATCAAATAAGTGTCAACAATGCCATTACCGTGATAAAAGTATTTGCACAGTGTCTATATTAGTTAAGAAAATGATTCCAGATAGAAAGTAAGTAACTTAAAAAAACCCTGAACATGCTTCTAAGGGTTCATAAATTGGTGACTATACACTTGACTAAGTTCTCTGGTGAACTAATGAGTGTCCTATCATATTCCACTTACCAGTAGAAGATTGCCCTGCCTTGTCCTCTGTAATTTTTAAGATTGCGTTTTTTGGCGTCGTGAACAACAGGTAGAGCTGCCCATTCTGCAGACATGAAGCCTTTGTAAGTATTCAGAACATCACTGTCTTTCATTTCAGGGATGTAAGACACACTTCATTTTTCACCACCGACACATCACCGCGTGAAACACATACGAAGGAATCATAATCAACAAACACCTTCTACATGAACAATAAGCATATGAATCTAACAGCTTGATAATATTCTAATAATTTAACCATTGCCTTCTACATGAATCATGATAAACGTATAAATCTAACAGTTTGATAATATTGAGATTAAATGTCAGAATAATTGTGTTACAGAAAAAAAAACGCCGGAATAATTTTACTACTATGAACAAGAGTTGAAGATCAGAATCACCTTCACATCAAGTAAGAGCATATCCACCCCCATCAACTCGCTACCTCTTTGACATTCATGGCTCTCAGAATCTGAGAAACTTAACCTCAACAATAATATCTACCTGACTTAAAATCGAAAAGGACAGAGAATAAGATGTGTTTGTGGTTTTTTACAGAATAAGAGGATGATTTTCAAAGGACAGAAGCTAACGTTTTTATAGGAAGAGAAACCACATACACTACCTTGGAGAAGAGAAATTTGCATTGAATGACAGATAGTGAATGATGTGGATCGAATGGTTTAAGAAGGCAATAAAGACAATGAATCTGTAACTCAGAAAGTTTCGATTGATAATAACGAAAGATTAAACGTCGCGATTGAATACCACAAAGAGATCCTTATAATCGATTATAAGTACAATCCATTAAAACTCCATTGTTGGTGCCGGCGATGGAAGAGAATGATGAAGCCTGATATTTGTCGTGAAGCCGAGGAAGACGATGAGCGTTTGGTCGCTTTGGGCACAAATTGCTGAGTAAACATGAAAGCCCAAACATGAAGCCCACAAATATTAAGCACAATAAAATGATGTGTTTTGGTTAAAGAAGACACGTGTCAAGCTGAGATAACATTATTTGATGAGTTGGCAGTCTCACAAGAGGGAAAACCTTCTTTTATATAATTAGATTAAGGCAGTTTATGCTACAAAGTAGTTTTTTGAGTAAAAAGACTTAATTTACCCTCTCAAAAAGAAACCAGTTACGTACTTATTAGTTAGAAACATTTATTAGAAACATTTAGTTTCATTAAATTTTTATAATTTAAAGAATGCATTCTTTTTCTTCTCCACTTCGACCTTTCTTCTTCATTTTTTTCCACCTTAATCTTTATGGTACGACAAGCACCGCCACCGGCTCAGTCTCCTATTCTGTTTCTGAGATCTTACGTTTCGGTGAGTCTGCAATCCATCATCATGGGGTGGTTACTCTCTATGCCATCGCGTCTCATCTTCCTCCTCGTTTTCACTTTGGTGGCTCGTCAAGCTCCGTCGTGTAATCCTCTGTGACCTCTCCTCCTCGCCAACCATAAGCGAACCAAATCGATGACCTCTCCTCCTTGCCAATCCGCGAACCAAATCAGGAGTCGATCCGATCTGTCGAACCTTAAAGGGATCCATTCCCAAAACAAGTTTCTCATATTTGCATGAGTGGTCCTTTAGCTTTTGTCATATTTACAGTTTGGCCCTAAACTTATAAATTTGCACATATGTTTTTCAGTTTGAATCCACACTTTTAATTGTGCAATTTAAGTTCCAGAGATAAAAACAAAAAAAAATGAAGATTGCAAGAAGAAAAATCAATGGCGGGTCTGAGGTTTAGTTACAGAAACGCATGATATCCTAATATGAAGAAGATGATCGATTACAAAATTACCACTCGTTTTAGAAAAATATGTACAATTATATGTGTACATCTTCACATATGTACACTTTATTATTGAAACAATGTACACTCGTAGCATGTGTATATTATTTATTATTAAAGCAAAAAAAAAAATTACATGTGTACAATTATATGTCTGCATGTGTACATCATCACATATATACACTCTTCATTATTAAAATAATGTACTATATACATGTGTACATGTGTACGTCTTCACAAGTTTATGTATTTCGTAAATGTATACATTGATGTGTCCACCTACTCGCATTTCCACTTCCAAAACTTCAGTCTCCATCATTAGTTGTATACGAAACTGCGATGCCGACAGAGAACAATGTACACAATCATTTATGGAATGTTACATGCAATTTTAACGATGTTCACATGTACACTGTTGTAACGATATTCATGTGTACACTATATCTGGGAATCTGGTCATGTCGTAATTATTTTTAAGAGAAGTGTGTTAATATACCAAACAGCCAAAGAAACTTTATTCAAGATCAAAATTTTACGAGAAGTATAAACTCAAAAGATCTGACAAAAATCAAATTTCAAAGTTGGTCTTTGTTGCTATCAAGCTTCTCACAAGTGGTGAATATGACAAAAGAAAGGGCACGGCGACGACAACTCCGGAGCTTTAGAACCAATTCCACAACTTTGAATCTCGTATTAGAGTTTGACGCAGAGGTATACCCATTAAGAGAGAGAGGTTTTATACATCATGATTTTATCACCATCAGATATATAGCTTGACACATCTCAAAAGATATATTGGATAATAAAGATATTGATTATGAACATATTTTCTGGAAACAATGTTCTGGAAAACTAAAATTCATTTAACAAAAGGAAGAATAAAAAACGCAGGAAGGAGAAACGAAGAAGAAGATACGTGGGACCCATTTTATTTTGTCTTTTAATTAAAAAATATATAATATTTTTTTAGTTGGTTCATTATTTAGTTAAAGAGAAACTGATTAGTTTTTTTTTTATAACACTGGTTGGATTAAAAAGTGCAAGACGACACAATAGTAGCAAATAACAAGAAGAAAATAAGATGTCACACACCAAACAAAACACATAGGAGATAATACCAAACCCCTTTCTTACTGAGCTTCAAAAACAAGAAGACGATGTAGCCATGCTTGAGCATTTCGGGTGATATAAGATTGGTGCCGCCGGTCTTGTGTGACGCTTAAAGCAATTGCCGTCGCAGCTTCATTATGTTCCGGCAAAGCATGATCCAAACTCCATGAAGGAACTGATTAGTTTTAGTTGACAAAAAAAGTTAATGAAAACTGTTTAAGTAGTGGAAACTGTCTTTTTGTGATATAATAAATTGTAAACTGCTTTAAAGTGATATTATTTCTTTAATATTTTGGACTGCTTCAGTCACCAAAATATGTCGGTGGTTTAATCTTATGTTTATTGTTGAAATTATAAAATATGTTAAATTTGCAGAAACCCAGATTTATAGAAGTGATAACACATACAGTTCAATCAATTTTTCCACGTCATTAAATTTGTTGTATACTCATATTCAAATCCAACCACACTAAAATATTACTCTTTATATTCGTCCAATTTTCTTTTCTCTCATTTTCTCTTCTTTTTTTGTCAGACATTCTGAATTTTCGTAAGTAAGAAATGGGTCAAATTTATAACATTGAGTTAAAGCCGGAAACGAATTTTTATATATTAAAACTAAAATCATGACTTGATTTTATGTGTGATTTTTTTTTTAATTTGGACCATCATTTCAAAATTTTATTAAATGTATTTTACTAAGACTAATAATATATATAATCTTTAAAATACTTTAATCATAATATATTTTGAGATCTTTCCATTCTAAATATAAATATATTTATTTAAAAAT